CGAGGAGAGGCGAGAATGAGAGAGAGAGCGAGAGAGGGAGAATGAGAGAGCAGAGAGGGAGAAAAAGAGGAGAGCGAAGAGGGAGAAGAGAGAGAGCGGAAGAGGAGAGAAGAGAGAGAGAGAGAGAGAGAGAGAGAGAAGAGAGAGAGAGGAGAGAGAGAGAGAGAGAGAGAGAGAGAGACGAGAGAGAGAGAGAGATGAGAGAGAGAGAGAGAGAGAGAGAGGGGGGGGGGGAGGCGTGACAGACAGGGCGTAGTATGACAGGCGGGATGATGGAAGAGGTGTGTCAGCGTCACGAGAGACGAAGGGAAAAAAAGACATGGCGAAAGGGGGGGAAATAAGAAACCAAAGGCGAAACATGATGGAGAGGAAAAGAAGGGAACAGGGGAGAAAAAATGAGGGAAAAGAGAGATACACTTGCTGATGGAAAAAAAAAGAATAAAAGAACAGAAAGAACGAAGAAGAAAGTTCAAAGGAGGGGAGGAGACGAGAGATAGCGAAAAGAGGTGAAGAAAGAAAGAAGAGAAAAAAGAGATGGAGAGCAAGTGAAGCGAAATTATTATAAGAGGATGGGAAATTGAAGGCTGTAGAAAACATCGGGATGTATTAAATGCACAAATAGTAGGAGGAAATGAAAAAAAGGCTGTTGGGGGATTTTGACGGCGCAGGGCGTATCGAAGGATGCTAAGGCATACCAGGATGGGTTGGGTGGGGGGGGGGGTGTCACGGTGAGAGACTTGGCTTATGTGAAGTGTTTGGCATATCGTGAGACGTGGCGAAGGCGCTACAATCATAACCAAAAGACTTTTATGTCTCTTTCTACATGTCAGTGTCTGTCTTGTCTGTCTCTGTCTGGATAAGAGGAAATCAAGGCGAAAGCCCTAAAAGGCCTACACTGACCTGCTCTGAGTCGGAGTCGTGCGAGAACTCGTCCTGCGTCGGCGGGTGCACGTCCTGGCTTCCTTCTTGTTCCCCGGTGTTCTCTGTGTTCTCTGTGTGTTCGTCGCCCGAATCTAAGGCGCCCACGCCTACAAGGCCGCCCATGCGCGGCACCACCCCGACGCCGAGGGGCGCCGGGGGCTCGCGGTGCGTGCGGGGCGCCACGGCGCGGAAGGCCCCGCGGTGGTGCTCCGACGGGTAGATGTTGCCGTAGCGCGTGAGGTTGTTCTCCGAGGCGTGCAGCAGGCGCGCCAGCGGTGTCAGAGGCACGTGCCGCAGGCGGTCCAGCCCGTGGTCGCTCTCGGAGCCGTCGCGGAAGCTACTGCCGCAGCCACCGCTGGCCAGAGGTCCGCCCACGCCGTCGCTGGTGGACGAGTCCCGCAGGTCCTCGAGGGACCGCGTGTAGGACCTCTCGGAGGGCGCCCGCGGACGCAGCGGGGACAGGGCGCCGCCCAGAGGCAGCTGTGGCACTCCGAACACCTTCGGGGACAATTTGATCGAGAGTTCAAGGTCTAGCGTCTCCTGGGCGGAGGCCGTGACGGTAGGCGTGGGCGGGCTGGGCTTGGTGGTGGCGGGCGAGAAGGCGCGGACGCTGAGCGGGTGGATGCCGCCCGTGTCGGACTCCCGCCGGTTGATCTTCTGCGACACTTTGACGAGATGCTCCTGCTTGTGCTGCAGGTACTTGTGCATGGAGTGGCGCATGGAGGCCACGTGCACGGGCGTGTCGCTGCTGCTGAGAGAGCCCGGCGAGCGCTCGAAGCCCACGGGGTCCGGCATGGCGCGCACGGTCAGGCGCCCCGTCTCCGGCGTGGCGCTGCAGTCCGCAACGGGGGTCTTGGTGGCGCCCCGGTCGCGCGCCAGCCGCGTGTCGTCGGTGATGCTGGTGCGGCCGTCCACGCCGCTCGTACGTCCGTCGTGCAGGCCGGCCCGCACCTCGTCCTCCAGCGCCGCCCGCAGGTCGTCCGTGATGCTGGTGCGGCCGTCCACGAGGCTGGCCCGGCTCTCGGCCAGGCTGGCTCGCAGGTCGCTCAGCCGCTTCGCGTCACTCACGCTCACTCGCAGGTTATCCACATTGCCCAACACTTTGTCTGTCACACTCACTCGCAGGTGGTCGTTCACATTGGCACGCACGTTGTCCAGCAACTTGGCACTGCTGCTTTCACTCGCACTCACTAGCAGCTTCTCGCTCGCGATGGCACGGAGGTTATTGGCACTGGAAGGGTTAAAGTCGTTGATATTGGCACGTAAGACGTTGGCACTCAGGCTGTTCGCGATGCTGTCGGTGACGGAGGCGCTGACGACGCCACCGCCGTAGCCCGCCGTGATGCTGCCACGGAGGTTGTCGAGGTGCACGCGATGCGTCTCCAGGTTGGAGCGGAAGTTGTCCGTGCTGCTCGGCCGCAGGTTGTCCAGGTTGGCCCGGTGGCTGTCCAGGTTGACCCGCAGGTTGTCCATGTTGGACCTGTGGTTGTCCAGACCCCGGTGACTGTCCATGTTCCCTCTGTGGTTGTCTAAGTTCCCTCTGTGACTATCTATATTTCCTCGGTGGATATCTATATTGCCCCTATGGTTGTCCATGTTCCCCCTTAGGTTATCCATATTCCCTCTGTGATTGTCCATATTTCCTCTATGGTTATCCATATTCCCTCGGTGGTTATCCATGTTTCCCCTTTGGTTTTCCATATTCCCTCTATGGTTGTCGATGTTCCCTCTGTGGTTGTCGATGTTTGACCTGAGGTTGTCGTTGAGGTTGGCCCGGAGGTTGCTCACCAGCTGGAAGTTCTGAATGCGCATGCGCTGGTTGTCGTCCACCTCGACGACGAAGACGCGGTCGTTGTGGTGGTAGTGGTGTCCGCCGTCGTCCCTGAAGCCGATGCCGGAGTCAGAGTTGGAGGAGTTGGAGGAAGTGTTGGAGTGCTGGGGCGACATCTGCGCCTCCACGTCGATGAGCCCGGGCGCGCCGGTGTCCAGGTGGAACCCCACCCGGTTGCGGTACAGGCTCATGATGGAGTGCAGGATCGGGTCGGCCGAGTCGGGGAACTCCTGGCAGTGCGGGGCGTCGGGGTGCGGCGTGCACTCGAGCCGGAAGTTCTTGGCCCTGCGTGCGTGGTCGGCGTGCTGCACCATGCGCGGGTCCACCATGAACACGTGGCACGACGACGACACGCTGCCCCCGTCCTGGCTGCCGTCGCTCAGCTCGTCACCCGACGCGCCGTGCACCGTCACCAGGCCGAAGAACTTCTTGTCGTCGGCGTACACGCCGCAGAAGGTGATGCGCTCGGCCGGGTACTGAGCCAGCGTGAGGCCGTGCGGGCTGGTGAGCACGACGCGCTCCGTGAACACCGACATGAGCACCAGCGTGTGCACCTTCTTCTCGATGCGCAGTCGCCGGATGCAGTTCCTGATGGCGGCCAGCCTGGAGCCGCCCTGGGGCTCCTTGGGCATCTCGATAGTGCCCAGGTAGCCCACCACGGCGCGGTACAGGGCCTCGCCCAGGTCGTTGGGCGCCGCCTGCTGCTGCAGCTCCGCCAAGGTCGGATACAGGAGCTTGTTGATTTCCTGCTCAGTCAGCACGCTGTACGCTTCCTTTCCTGAGCCGCTCGGCAACTCCACGCCGACCCACATGCCCGAATGCTGTTGCTGTGACTGCTGAAGCTGCTGCTGCACCGGGGACTGCTGCCGCTGAGGCTGCTGCTGGTGCAACTGCTGCTGGTGAAGGAGCTGCTGTTGACTATGCTGCTGCTGCAAATGCTGTTGTTGTTGTAAATGTTGCTGCTGTTGCTGCAAGTGTTGTTGTAGGTGCTGTTGTTGCTGCTGCTGTTGCTGCTGCAAGTGCTGCTGCTGTTGCTGGTGTGGTGTGCTGGTGGTGCGCCAGCTGCTCACGGTCTCCGGCGGGAGGTTCTGCGGGTGGTGCCTCAGCTTGGCCTTCGGAGACTTGTCCTTCTTTTTGACCACGTGTCTGGGCCGCGGCGGGTGCTCCTGCTGCTGCTGCTGCTGGGACTGCTGCTTCTGCTGTTGTTGTTGCTGCTGCTGCTGCTGTTGCTGTTGTTGCTGCTGTTGCTGCTGCTGTTGTTGCTGCTGCTGCTGCGGCTCCTTCATGGGTCGTGGCGTTCTTGTGACCTGCCGCGCCTCCGCCATGACCAGCTGGATCTGGTCGGGGCGCAGGCGCGTGGGCGACGTCGAGGAGGGCACGCCGGCGGGGCCTCCGTCGCCGCCGCCCAGGCCCTCGGGCACGGGGGACACCGACGTGGAAACCGTGAGCCCCTTGGGCGTGGGCGTGAGCGGCGCCTTAGGAGGGAAGGCGGACTCGGGCCAGGCGTCGCGGTCGGACAGCAGCGCCGCCTCGCCTAGGTGGATGGCCGTGTGCTCGCTGAAGATGGCCCCGCTCTGCAGGTCGCGCACCACCTTCTCGGCGCGCGTCTGCTGGTTCTTGTGGCGCAGGCGGTTCGGGTACTTGGGCTTCGGCCGGTTCACCGTGACGAACTCGTCGTCCGAGCTGTCCGAGTAGTAGTTCTCGGCGATCTGCAGCTTGAGCAGCTTGGACAGGCCGATGAGGCGCGCCACGTCATCGTGCGGCGCCTTGCTCACGTTCTGGCTGTTGACGGCGATGAGGTAGTCGCCGGGGCGCAGGCCGGCGCGCTCGGCGGGGCTGCCCGGCACGATGCACGACAGGATGCACGGCGCCTGCCCGCTGATCGTGAAGCCGAAGCCGTTCTTGCCCTTCGTGATCTCCACCGTGCGAACCCCATAGCTGGGCCGCTTCTTCCGCCGCCGGTTGTTGTGCATGGCTCCCTTATGGCACTGCTATGGCACGCTGCAACGGAAAAACACCAACTTAAATACTGCAATTAAAACTACCTAAAGGTTCCAACATTTAGAATATTCGCATAATACATAATTAAATCAATGATTTTCCTCACAACCAAAGAACACAACACGAAAAGCACCCCCCCCCCCCCCGCGCACAGACACCAAAAGCCTCTTCCCCATATGTATTGCAAGGCCGTCGTTCCACTGCGAAGGAACCCCAAAACGAAGATCATTTCCGGCCATTACAGCTTCCGCCGCCGCTCTCAAGGTCGCGCGTTCGCCTTGACATTGACAGCGGCACATCCACAGGACCACGTGCTGTACCGGAAACGTGATTTACGATGCTACGGGCGGGCTCTGAATAGTGGCGGAACGTCATCGAGGATGAAATCGATCCGATCCGAATGAAGTCAACGTGAAGAGCATGACGAGTAAAATCAACAAGCGTAGTAAATCTTGAGGGTGTATTCACATATGTGTGTACAAGGTTTTATGGTGATAGTAAACAATTCCAATGATATAAATGGGATAGTTGAAGTGGTGGTGGTAGAGATGGTGGTGGTGGTGGGGGTGCAAGTGATAGTGATAGCGAAACTGATAGTGTAACTGTTAGTGTTTGTATTGGTGGTGGAGGCAGTGGAGAGATGGTGATGGTAGTGGTGTGTGTGTGGGGGGGGGGGGGAGGCATGGAAATATTGGTGGAAGTGTTGGCAGAGGTAGGGTGATAACTGTGGTGAATGGTGGTAGCAGCGGTGGTGGTGGTGGTGTGTGTGTTGTTGGGGTGAGGGCGAGGATTAGGTTGGGGTGGAGAAAGAGATAGATATAGATAGAGATAGTGGTGGAGGTAAATGCGGAAGTGATGGCAGTGGTAGTCTTGTGGTAGTAGTAATAAAGTATACGACGAAGATGATGCTGATGGGGAGATGATCATGGCGTCTACAATGACGAAGCGATGATGAAGATAAAATGAAAATGACAAAAAACCGCAAAATTCACTTACGCCCCGCCCACAAATAGCTGGAGTATCACAACACACATTCCGCAATTCTTTTCGCACCGGTCCCTCGACACCGCTGCCCTCTCCCCAAATGGGAAAAGTACGACACGGACAAATATGCGCTTTCCGGAGATCTCCATCTTTGACTTTCTGCAACATTTCAGGCATAGTTACACAGTTGCCAATTGTCACGAAGCGGCGACAAATGGAACCCGCCTTCACGTGCGGACACAGCCTGAACATCAACCTCAAGACAACCGTTCGCACAGTCCGCCCCTGCTCATCGGCCACGACGCGTGGGGGAATATATCATACTGTTTGCCGTGCGCGCAGGTCAAACACGGGCGGGAATATCAAAGGCGCCTCGAAGCAAAAATATAACAGAAGAAAAACACGTCGGTGGAACGTAAAAATCGGGAAATCTCCGAACACTACAATGAAAGAGCCCTTGTGTGCCCGAAGCCGCATGAAGAGTGAAGGCGCGGCGAAAGCATCATGAGCTTTTCACTGCTAACACGAGTGTGACTACAGGACGCTGTTCTCTGTGCTAGGCGGAACATGCAAATTGGCCTCCCTAAACGAATCACCATGAGTTGCAGAGGAACACCTGCGTCCTCGTGCTGCCCGGGCAGGGTTCCTCGGGTGTGCCATATCCTGTTCGGCGAAGCTCCTTTCCGAAGAGCCAATACCGGCCGTGACCCCCACCCAGACCCCCTCGGAGACCCGCTGACCATAGACTTAAATCCCGACGCAGCAAGGCCGGACAACACCTAACGCGCCTCCATGACAGACATCTCCTTATCAACTAATTCGCCACATGGTCACACGGTCTGTGCTATGCCAGCCAGGCCTTGGCCATGACTCCATCAGAATCTTGGCTTCCTCCTCGGCCTATCCATGACGCTCACCACCAGGTCCAAGGCCGCATCCCACACCCAGGGTGAACACGTGGTCCTGACAGTCAAGGGAGCCCCCCACCCCGCCCCAGAGACAATAATAAACCAGCGCCCCTTAAAATGTCCTGAGGCGTGCTTGAGTTTCGTTTTACATGACCCTGATACATTTCCGTTTTTCGCTGCTGACGCGGCACAAGAGGATAGAGAGGAGGCGAGAGGCATAGGGTGGCCCGCTGCTCGCCCCGCCAGTCGGGTATCCGCCTGGCGCCCCATGTGCCTCGTCCCGCCGAGACATTCCCTACATACCACCACGGCACTCATCAACCGAGCCTGAGTTTGGTACCGACCCCCCTCCCCCCCACCTCCGGGGACCGACCAGACCTCGACCTGCCGCTACTGCCATCTGCTCCTGGAGGAAGCGGCGTTACAGAAGCGGCTGCGAGGGACGCTCTTCGTAAACTGCTCCTCCAAGTTTATCAGGCATAAAATCAATACATACGCTATTCATGACTGAAAGAGTGTCGAATTTCGAAAGTCTTTTTGCTCTTCGTGACCGCATGTGACCGTCGCGGAGAATGAGACTAACCGAAAACATGGATAAATTCAAACCTAGCGAAATTTTCCCCAAATCTTCACGTCCTGCGCCCTCGCCTGCGGTCTACTCAGCAGGGGGACTGGACAACAGTAGCGTCAATACAATCAGCAAAAGACCTTGACGCCCTACTGCTTCATCCTATTTCCTTCCTTCTCTTCTTGCTCTTCACTCCCTTCTTCTATCATTTCCATCTTCGCCTTTTCTGCTTTAAGATCACGCTCCTCCGCCTTCTCTCCCATTCCCACGAACACCACCTCTTTCTCCCCTCCTTCACCTCTTCCTTTTTCTCCTTCTCCCCTCTTCCTACTAGCACCCCTTTCTTCCCTTCTTTCACCCTTTCCTTTTTCTCTTTCTCCCCTCTTCCTACGAGCACCCCTTTCTCCCCCCCCTTCACCTCTTCCATCTTCTCATTCTGCTCCTCCTTCCTACGCCTCTTTCGCCACCGGTTAATCCCGCCGCCCATCGCGTGTGAAAAGAGAATCTAGGCCTATCCACCCCCCTCCCCCCACCCACACCCGCCCCACGACCCCTTGTGACTTAGCCTGGGATCACTTGACGGTCGTTCACCGGACCACGGGGGGTGGCGAGGGGGGGGGGGGAGGAGGGAAGAAAAGGAGAGGGAGTAGGTGTGGATGTGGGAGTGGGAGGGAGGATGAGGATAAGGGGGTAGTGGAGGGAGGAGGATAAGGGGGAGTGGAGGGATGAGGATAAGGGGGTAGTGGAGGGAGAGGATAAGGGGTAGTGGAGGGAGGAGGATAAGGGGGTAGTAGGGAGGGAGAAGGAGGTAGTGGAGGGAAGGAGGAGGTAGTGGGGGAGGAGGAAGAGGAGGAGGAGGAGGAGAAGAGAAAAGAAAAAAAAGAAAAAGAAAAAAGAAAAAGAAAAGAAAAAGAAAGAAAAGAAAAGAAAAGAAAAGAAAAGAAAAGAAAAGAAAAAAAAGAAAGAAAAGAAAAGAAAAGAAAAGAAAAGAAAAGAAAAGAAAAGAAAAGAAAAGAAAAGAAAAGAAAGAAAAAGAAAAAGAAAAAGAAGGAGGAGAAGAAAAAGAGAAGAAACAGAGAATAGGTGAAGAGGAAAGAATTGAGGAAGAAGGGGAGGAAAGGAAAGTGGAGAGGAGAGGGGAGGATCAAGAACAGGGAAGATAACGACTCGGAAGAAGAGGTGGAAGAGGAGGAGGGGTAGAAATAGGAGCAGGATGTAGTGGATGAGAAGGAAGAGTGAAAGACAATTGAGGAGCTGAAGAATGCGAGAAAGAGAAGAAAAAATATAGGGGAAAAATACATAACAGATCATAGAGAAGAATTTAAGGTACACGAAAAGCTAATGATGATAATAATAATAAATAGATAGAACACTTAAATCAAGAATTCGACGAGATGGAAAATATAAATGAATTAAGTATCTTTAGATATCTTTCAGCAAGAAAGCACGATTTTTCCACCTAAAAATATTTAAATGATAAAAACAAACCAGCATTCCACATAAAACATTGATAAACAATAATAATCAATCAAAACAATAATAATGAAGATTATGGTAATAGTACTACAGAACAATAATAATAGCAATAATAAAGAAAATAACAATAACAACAGCCACACTAATAATAATAATAACAACATTATTAATAATAATAATAATAACAACATCAATAATAATGATATTAATATTAATATTAATAATAATAATAATAATAATAATAATAATAATAATAATAATAATAATATTATCATCATGATTATTAATAATATTAAGCATAATAATAATAATAATAATAATAATAATAATAATAATAATAATAATAATAATAATAATAATAATAATAATAATGATAATAACAATAATAATAATAATAATAATAATATTACTATCATCATTATTATTATCATTATCATTATTATCATCGCTATTATTATTATTATCCTTATTATCATCATAATAATAATCGTAAAAACTACAAAAATAATAACACTAATGATGATGACGATAATAATGATGATGATGATGATGATGATGATGATGATGATGATGATAATGATGATGATGATAATGATGATGATGATAATAATAAACATAACAACATGGTAGTACAACATGATACTAGTGATAAAGATAATGATAATATCAATAACAACAAAAACAGCAACAACAACAATCATAATGATAACAACAATGATGATGATAATAAGATGAAGAAGAAGAATGGCAACAATAGGAATAATAATGCAATATGTAAAACATCATTATCTGTAGTGAAAATGATGATACAGTGGCAATGACGATGATGATAACTAGTTCGATAATAAAAGGATTGTTAAGAATATAGACGCCGATTTTGGGACGGTCACCACCACCGCCAGCAACAATTACAACTACAAAAAAACAACAACGACGATAATGACAATGAAAATGAAAATAACGGTAACAATAATATTGGCAATAGTATGGGTAATGATATCAGTGATGATTATGGTAATGATTATGATAATGATGATTAAAGTAATAATAATAATAATAACAAC